TCGTGTCGGATGCTATCTCGAGCCACCTTGAAGTATATTTGGCCATATTGGAAGCTCGGGCTCTCTGAGGCCGTCTTGGAGCCATCTCGAGCCATCAAGGACGTTCTAACTCCTCGCAGGTAAGCCCGCCCAGACGCAAGGAAAGCAAACCTCGTTGGAAAAGGGAACGGGCTGATTGGATTCACACTTCGATGTTGTGTGCGCCGATGATAACATAATTGCTCGGGAACCGAATATACCATACGGATTTGAAGATTTTCTGGGCTCGTCGTTTGTGGTGGTGCGGTTGGGGATCTCACGAGGCACAGAGCGTGAGAGCGCATCGACTTACATCAAACCGCATGCAAACATATAATGCAGCGGCCATATAACTGCAACAGCCCCGTCGGCGCTTGATCGCCAAATTCCGTGGGCCAGCAACTCGTTAGACAAGACTAGGGTTGGCTTTTCAGCCCGCTTATATTTAGCATATCGGCCGTCTGCTTTTCTAAACTCACACATGGAGATGCACGTCCAGTAAGTGCCGTCAACGCAGAAATGATACCAGATTTGCCCGCACTGTCGGCGCTTGTCGCCACCAAGCAGGACGACATCCAAATTGCTAAACTTCGCGCCCGATTCGGCAACGAAAGTGCCAGATATCTCGATATTGGCTGCGCGCGGAAACATTTCCCCCACTGGCATGCGCAACGCCTTCGGCAACGCACTCCAGTTGCCGCTTACGCGCGTCGAGAATTGTTTAAGGTCTGCAAAATGTTGGCAGCGCAGCTCCTCCATGAGACCCCTGGTGTAGTATATGCCTCTCGACTGGCGGTTCATTGCGAACTTTTTCGGGTCCTTATGCCTTCGCTCGGTGACGAACGTGTCGAAAAGGCAACCGAAATCTCGGTATTGCGGACCGAGATGAGCAGCCTGGTGGTGCTTGAATTGCCAGGGCCCTCGCCCGTGCACGTCGCGAAACTTATGCAAGTGCTTCATGATGCAATCATGCAGCTGACCGCGGACACCTGTTTGCGCGATGCGCATTGCAGCATCTCTATGCTCTCACAACAGAGCGAAACTGATTCCGCTGCACCGTGGAGGGCGGCAAGGCTCTCCTCCTTTGCAGCCACGTTGGAGAAGTACCTCTGTACGACTGGTGTCGCTGACAGCTGCTCGCTCGCAGTGGCGGCCAGCTTGTTGGTCTCGAAGATTTCAGCCGTTCTCTTGTACTCCCGAGGCCGCGTCCACTGCTGCATGTACGCGTGCAGGTCTGTGTATTCCACCAGGCCCTTTTTGTTCCTCCCCGCAGCCGCCTTGGCCTTGTGCATAAATTCATCGAGATCGTACTCGAAAAGCCCAGTTATGAAATATATGTGCGGCCAATCGTACATGGTGTTGCTGATTGGCTTCATGGCGGCATCAGCAGTGAGGTAGTGGGGCCCGTAGTGGAACCCTTTCCTGGTCTCCAACTCTGCGTAAGCAGTCTTACCCAAATCAGTTTTTGCAACCATCAGTTCTCCCAGCAAGTTTCGCACAGAAGCGTCCGAGTGCGGCTCCCAAAGGTGGCACTCCAAATTGTCCAACGGGAGGTGCCCGAATCTACCGTCCTAGGCGATGTTTCGGCACAAAGGGCATGGCACGATGCCTCGGTGGCCCATGCTACCGAGGACTTCCTTGATAGCTTTGAAGTCAGCCAATGACCCGTAATGACGCGCAAAGAGCCTGGTGAAATCATTGGTATCGTTTTCGCTCTCGCGCAAATCCAAGCAAATGCCTGTCTTCGTCAGGTGATGAGACTCGTCATTGAAAACCATGTGTTTCAGTACATGCTTGACTAACTGCGACATGCCGCTGTCCATGGTCTCGACAATGAGCGACGGAGCACATGGAACAATGAACCACATTTCCTCCCGATGAACAAGATTTTCAAACTCAGCGAACGTCCAGTAGAAGCTCTGCACTTTGCGTGGGTCCTTCTTGGATGCAAGTGGGTTCGTGGGGCTGACCTCGTCGAAGTATATGATGAGCCTCCACGGCGTACTCGGGGAGCTGGGGAACTTCGCCAACTTTGCCTTCATAATTTGCCTGAACGGAGCGCACTCCCGAACGGTGCGATCCAAGAGGGCAAACGGGTGATTGACACATGCAATTCCAACAGTCCTGTCCTCTAGAGTGAGCTCCATCGGCTGCACCACAGGGCCGTATGGCGTTGGCTCACTAGTGAACGCATGGCGGGCTCGGAGCTGCGAGCGCGAGCTGCTCGCGCTGGGGAGCCCGTCCGCCCTCACCCTTTTCAGAATCGCCTCAAGCCCCCGCTGCGAAACGTAAGAGTCGCGATGCAGCTCATTAAGGTCAGCGCCCGCGCGCTTCATGAGCCAGGGGTGCACGCGCGCAAGGGCGCGCTGGTCGCTCGGGCCAGGGCGAGGACGGTGGCGCGTGCGCCTCTTGATCGGCGCGCGGTGCGTGGGGCGATCGCTTCATACGACACGCGTGCATACATGCGCGGAACTGAATTTGGTTATATAATGGCCTTCGGCCCATTCCGCCACCGTGCCTGGATTCGTGGACATTGGATGGCGTTGGAGGCGCTTGGGCCGTCGCGGGGCGGTGGTGGACCGAAAGCTCGACAATCTCACATTCTGGACCGAGGGAGGCATGTCGGCAGTATGCCTCAAGTGGCATCGAATAAATACAACATGAGGCATGTCCGTTGTATGCCTCAAGTAGTTCCGATCGGGTACCATCTGAGGCGCGTCGTCAGTATGCCTAACGTGTATGTCGGCAATATGCCTCAATTGGTACCGAATGTGTGTCTGGGTCTCGTGTTAAGCCTTTCGGAGGTTTCTGGGAGGCAGTTTTGAAGCCTCTTGGGGGGCGTTTTGGGGCATCTGCAGGGTCGTTTGGGGGCCTTGGGGGCTGCTTGGGGCGTCTTGGGGGCCTTGGGGCACCCTGGGGCCCCTGGGGGCGACTTGAATGTTTGAATTGTTCGTCGCCCTCTTGGGCCCCTCTTGGTGCCGTCTTGGAGCCCTAGGGCTCCAAGAGCTCTTGTGTTGTATTTGGAACCATAATGGGCAATCTTGGGGCCGTATTGGGCCGTCGTCGGGCCGTCTTGGGGGCCCCTTGGGGCCTCTTGGGGCTTGGGCCGTCTCAGAGCGTCGGGAAGCCGAAAAGGCGAGAAAGCAAAAACACAACATCGAAAACCACAAGGGGCAATCAACAAGTTTAGCCACTCGGGGCCCTCGTGGGAAGCCTCTTGGAGGCGGGCCGTCTGCGGGCGGCCTCTGGGCCCGTCTTGGGGCCATTTTGGGCGTCGTGGAGCGCTCGTTTGGCGTCTCGGGGCCTGGGCCGTCTTCGGGGCCTCTTTGGTGCCTTCTTGGCCCGTCTCGGGGCCCGCTTGAGCTCGAAACAATCACGCGGGAAATTGCAAGAAGCCCCAGGTGAACCGCGGGAAGGCCCGAGAGAATTGGAAATTGAGGCTCTGATCCCCTTTATAATGATTCCTCACAGGACTGAGGACTGAGGCTCGGAGGATTTGACAAGGGGCATGAGGGCACTCCCACTCCGCGCCTCGCGGCACGGTGGCGGATTTAGACGCGGTTTAACGCACGCGTGCGAATGATGGAACACATTTTCTGGGATCTCCCCTCCCAGCAGTAAAACGGGCTGTACTGCAACAACGGCAGTAAATCTGTGGGCTAAGACCTGCCTCTAGCTGCGCTCATTCCGACATCGACCCCAGCTGCTCGCTGTCCCCATCACAGCTCGAGTCCGACACCTCATCCAACGCCGTCAGCGGCTTGGGCAGCCTCGCGGGCTCAATGCCTTGCGACAGCCTCAAGTCCGTCTGGGTGCCGACCTCACTCGTCTCTGGCTTGGGAATGATTGACCCGACCAACTTATTCACAACCTTCTGGCACTCCACCGTCGGCAGGCCGTTGGCCCTGACGCGCGACAGCGACTGAATGAAGAAGGTCGACTGCTGCGTGAGCATCTTCTTGAGGAAGTACACCTTCTGGGTTCCGAGCTGCCTCTCTGCCGTCGACCTCTCCTTCCTGACGGTGGTCAGCTGCTTCGAAAGCATTTTCTCCATCTCCGAGCGCACCATCTCAAACAGTCCGCAACCACGCGCGCAGCAGCTTAAACGCTAAGCGAGCGCAGAGCCAAACTGCGATGCATCATGGGATCGGGATGGGCGTGGGCTGGGGCAGGGGCGCGCGAGAATCGCGCAACCCACAGTCTGCCACGCGACACGATCAACGGATTTCCATCGGTGAAGAGCTCAATAATAACACAATACGTCATCCTACAATAGCCGCTCTCATCTTACGGTGGTAGCGCGGCGTGCGGGGGATGGCGATGCGACGACGCTGGTAGGCTGAAAGGGCGGGCGGGTGGATGGATGGATAATCAGAGGGCTGGGGAGACAATCGGATGCAGGTGAGAAGGGGTAGGCGGGAGGTGTGACAGGAGAGAGAGAGAGAGAGAGAGAGATAGAGAGAGAGATATATAGAGGGGAATGAGATCACGATAACGAGGGAGAATGAAATGGAGCGAAAGGGAGAACGTGCGAGCGCGAGGGAGAGAGAGAGAGAGAGAGAGAGAGAAAGAGAGCTATATATAGAGAGAGTGGGATGGGATGTGTTCGAGGAGAAAGGGCTCTTTGTATAGAGAGGGCCTATATGTAAGGATATTGGGCAGAGAGATGGGATATAACTATATATATATATATATATAAATATATGCGTGGGACATATAGAGGGGGAGTGGTGGCGGAAAAGGATAGCATAGAAAGTGAACGCTATGGCAAGATTGGGGATGATGGCGGGTGAACGTAATGCGAGATAAAGCGAGATAGAGAGCGAGAGAAAGAGCGGGGGAAAGAGAAATAATAAGGTTGGCAATGTTTCATCGCAAAAAGATACGGCATGCGCGGCTGCACGCGCGCACTCGCCGCGTGCACGAATGCAATCGTTGCCTAGTATTTAGCGCTGCGGGCTCCTGCAACGGCGCACACGCCCCTACAAGCCACAGTTGGCCCAGAAAGATGAGCCAATGCTGTGCGCGACCTTCTGGGCGAGCTTCACATCGTCCGAGCTCAATTGTTTATCCCTGGCCTGCTTCCCACCCTCCGCGTATAGCTTGGAGGTGTATGCGCCCTTGGACGGGTATTTTGCTGCGACACTCTTGGAGAGAAACTCCTTCAGATTGAGCTTGAAGCCCTTTGGCAAATCACTCTCTGTGACGCCGCCCTGCTTGGCCTCTTTCGCCTTCTTCATCGGTGGCGGATCGGCGTCGCCCGACGAAGGGGCGGCCGATGCGGGGCGCTTTGCAGCGGAGGCCGAAGCTGCGGGGCGCGGCATGCGGCCAGCCGCTTTGCCCTTGCCTGTCGCCTTCGTGCGCAAGCGCTCCGCAGCAGATTCCTCGCTCGCATCGCTGTCGCCGGCGCAGGCGCCAGCCTTCTCGTCGACAGCTGGGGGAGGCATGGGGAATGTTCCAGCGCTGTCGTCGGCGCGGACGCCAGCCTTGGGCTCGGCCGCTCCAGTGGGCTCGGCGGCGGAGCGGCTGCCCTTCGGCTCGGGCAGGTGCGAGGCCGACGACGCGCCCGCGCCGGCGGAAGAACGGAAGCACTGCAGCATGTTATACGGGTCCATGCCTGCACTCGTGCTAGGGAGACCCTTCATCATGCCCTGCAGGAGCATCTGGGCGCCGATCTGCCTGCAGGCTTCCGCCATGAACTGATTGGGGTCGGTTGCGGATGGAGCGCACAGGTTCAGCATGGCGGGCTCTTCTTATTGAGGGCCAGCTGCGACTCCGCTTCTTCAGCTCCCGTATGCGCGCGCTTATAGGCGGTCGAGCTCTGTCGGACTGTTCCGAACGTCAGCTCGCGGTACTCCTTCATCGACGGCGGGTCCGTCTCGTATGCATGCTTGTAGGTTTCACTCGGGAGATCCTTGGGCGAAAGCGGAAACTCTGTCATAAACTCAAATGGGTACTTGACAGTGCCCAACGGCGCAAGCGCCTCCTTGATGTTATTCAAATGGGCGAACCAATCTTTCCCCTTCTCCAGCGGCAGCCCGTTGGCCACATAGATGCACTCCAAGATGTGCCCTTTCGTCTTCTCACTCGGCAGGAGGAGCCCGATGAAGAGGCACCTCTTTTTCACAGATGCGAACTTAGCAGACCAAGGCGTCATGCTGTCCGCGAGGATCGTGTACTCGATATCAGTCAAGTACAGGTTGAATGATGAGCACTTTTGGTTCGGCCGCCTTGCGTAGGGTTCCCATCCTCGAGCTTGTTCTTCATCTCGTTCACCAGCGTAGCCAACTTAGCCGTTGTCTCCTTGTCCCACCCGACGCCGTGGACGGCCTTAGTCAACTCCGTTGCGGATCGTAAGTCGCACTCAATGAGCGACCTGTTCTTTGCGCTGATGCACGTTGCCTGCGCGCGCATCAACTCAGACATGGCATCCGAGTCGAGGTTGCACTGCTTCTGCTCCTCAAAGAACTTGGGGAGGTTGGCCAGCTCCGCGATGAGCTTGGTAGGAGTGGACATTCTCAAATCCTACTCCGCACCTAGCATACAGCGTGAATGACTCGATTGCTTGAGGGAAATATGTCATGGAAGCGCGCGCGCTCGAGATCAGTGCCCATAACTAGAATGGCATGTCATGACAAGCACATATGTTATTCACATGCAGGCGCACGCGCCAGCGCCCACAAATGTCGCGCGCGCGCGAATTAACACTCGATAAGTCACGTTTGCCCTGCTAGGCGTCAGATCATCCCGCGAGCCATTTTGGGCTGCGGTGGTTTAGCGTAATTTTCCTTCTCTCCGCCACAGCTTCCTCCTTCACTTGCTCGGGGAAGGGTGGGGGAGGTGCGCGGTGTGCGCGCGCGTGTGTGTCCCTATACAACGCCCCTTGGGTCTGGGGCGGGGGGGGGGAGGGAAGGGGTGTGTGTAGGTGTGTCTCGCGCGTGAAGCACGGTGCGCTCCTCGGGGAAAAGTGTGTAGATGTGCGTGTATGCGTTGTGGTGTGCGTGTGTGTTGTGCGTGCGCGGGTGGGCGGGCGGGCGGGGGGATGGCGGGCGGGGGCGGGGGGTGGGAAGGGGGGGGAGGAGGTAGGTGGGTGGGAGGGAAGGGGGCAGATTGTCAATTTTCGGCCCAAGGTTGCGGTGGCCTCAGAGAGCTTAATTGGAATTCGCATCCAAGATTCTAGATTGTCCAAGCTACGGCCCCAAGATGATTCCAAGTGGCATTCGAGCCATCGGAAAAAGCAATTCCAACACCTAAATAACACATGTCTGTCATTGCATTCTGGTCGTATCGCTTTCCATTGGCTCTTGATACCTCACGATTTCCACAATGGAACCCCAAACAGCCAGAGCGCCAGCACTCCAAGGACGGCCCGTGAGTGCCTCAGGGCGCCCTTTCTGAGCCTCTGATGGGGGGGGGGGGTGGGATCCGAATGGCCCTTTTCTTTTTGAACAGCATAGGCAAGACGGCCCCAAGATGTCTACGAGGGCCCCAAGATCTACCAAAAGAGACCCGCAATCGTGCCCCAAGAGGGCAACCTCTCCAAAAATCCGATCGAGAACGCGCTCCCGAGGCGGTCGTTAACCTAATTTGCTCCCACCATCACTGCCCGCACCAGCATCAGCAGCGCCAGCAGCAGCAGCACCGCAACCACCAGCCACAGCACTAGCAGCGGCGGCAGCACCAGCAGCACCGCCGCCGTCACCAGCAGCACCATCAGCGACACCATCAGCAGCACCAGCAGTAGCACCAGTAGCAGCAGCACCCGCAACACCAGCAGCAGGACCATCAGAACGAGAAGCCGCGCCATCAGCAGCAGCACCAACAACAGCACAATCACCATCAACAGTAGCACCAGCGGCAACTCCAGCAGCACAGCAGCATCAGCAGCAGCACCACCAGCAGCACCAGCAGCAGCACCAGCAGCAAGATAACCAACATCAGCACCAGCACCAGCAGCACGCGCATCACCAGCAACAGCAGCGGCAGCATGACCAGTCACACGCTCGCGCTGTCTATGTGCGTCCCGTCATTCCTTCTCCCGACAGAGGGGACATCGTTTCTGGATGGGCAGGTGGGGATACGCAAAGCGTCAAGAATTTTATAAGTGTTTGCTGCACTGGGGGGTGAGGGCTTGGTGTTGTCACCATCGTTTCTCTCCCGCATCCTCCTTGTAATCCTTGTCCACCCGCCCTCCCCTTTTTCATATTCCCCGATCCATGGCCTCAGGGCAGCTTCCCTCTCTGCGAGCGTTCCAGCATCTCGAACTCACTGAGGGTCGGCCGACGCACCTGGTGCGATGTTACAATCCTGTATGGAGCCCTCAGCAGCACCCCGCGTCATCTAGCCTCATTCGCCTATACTGTGATGAGAAGACGTTTTAGTATGTCAGCCGTATGATGGATACTCGTGGGCTCTGATTGGAACATAGACTTACAAGCCACCGCCCCCGTCTCCCCCCTCTCCCCCTCCCCCCTCCCCTCCCTCCTCCCCCCTCTTCCCCTCTGGATGATGGGAGGTGGGGGTGGAAGAGAAAACTCGTGAGGCAGTGTTCCATGCACGCAGAAATGCCCCGAGCCAGGCTGCACGCACAAATGCCCCCAGCTTGGCTGCACACACAAATTCCCCCAACCAGGCTGCACACACAATTGCCCCCAGCATGGCCGCACGCACAATTCTAGACGCTTCGCGTATCTCCACCAGCCCATCCAGAAACAACGCCCAGGCGAGTTGAGGTGATCAGGGAAGAGCAGGAGCAAGGAGGGGGACAGCCGAACCGTGCGAAGGAGGAAGGAGGAGACGGAGGATGCTGGATGGATGGATGAGGGAGTGGGGAGAAGGAAGATGAATAGGAGGAGGGGGAGGAGGAGGAGGAGGAGGAGGACGGAGGACGGAGGACGGAGGACGGAGGAGCAGGAGAAGGAGGAGGAGGAGGAGGAGGAGGAGGGCGAGCAAAATGGCCAAAGGTATTTTGGATGCATCTCGGAGCCTCTTGGGATATCACTTGGGCGCTTCTTGGAGGCCTCTTGGGAGCATCTTGAGAGCCGCTTGGGGCCATCTTGGGGCCATCTTGGCGCCCCTGGGGGCCTCCTAGGAGCGCCTCTTGGGGCAATCTTGAAGGAGATCGATCAAGCCTTGCCCCTCTAGAGCCCCCAGAATCGCCTCTTGGACCCCTCTTGGGGCGCTCTTGGAGCGCTCTTGGGCGCTCTTGGGGCCGTCTTGGGGCTCTCGTGGGCTCATCTTGGGGCCATTTTGGGCTCTTTTGGGGCTATATTGAAGCCTCGGATAGCAATCGGAAGCGAAAAAGCGAGAAGCAGAAAATAATGTGTTTCCTTAAGTTTTTGAACGATTTTGGCATATTGGGGGGTGGCTCCTTGGGGAGCTATCTGGCCTCTTGGGGTTATCATGGAGCGGTCTTGGGACCTCTTGAGCCATATTGAGGCATCTTCGGCTATCTTGGGCCACCTTGGAGCTCATCTTGGGCTCTAGGGTCGCCACACCTCCCCACTTTCAGTCCCTCCCTCGCCTGCACCCCCCATCGCGGGTCGTGTAGGTGAAGGGGTGCGTGGAGTGGCTGAGGTGTCGCCACCCTTGAAACTACAGGCTTCACCCTCCCGCTCGAATCGATGTTGTGCCAAGCCTCTCGGGCCTCCCCTCCCCTCCCTTTTTCTGATCATTCGGCCACTCGCTCTGGGATCGGTCGCGAATGGCGCAAGACAACATATGGTTACAAGACGCTCAATGAGAAAAACGGCCCCGCTTTGACCAACCCTCCCGTGAGAAACGGTCCTCTCCCTCCCGAGCGGATCGAGCCCAGGGCGCGTGGGGCCAATCATATGGGCGGGCTACACTGGCACCTATGCCGATCCGCTCATCCTCGATTGACTGGTATCCATCAGCAGGCATCACGTCCGGGGTGGCGTGAGAAAAAAAAAAAAAATGAAAAAAAAAAAAAACGATGAGGCCTGAGGTAGCGATGGATCGGAGGCTTTCGAGGTATGAGGTAGAGAGAGGCCTGAGGAAGGCGCCTTGCCAAACAGAAGGAACGGGACGCGGCGGGGCGGTCAGGCTATGCGTGGTGAATGAGGATGTGCGGGCGACGGGGCCCCCTTCGATGAAGGATAAAACGGCGAGGAGGCGCCTCAAGCGCGCGGAAGAGTGGAGGAGAAGGAGGGAGGAGGAGAAGGAAGGCGCCAGGAGAAAGAAGGAGGAGGAGGCGGCGAGGGCCCTGAGGGGCAGAGATGAGCTCATGGAGGCGGCGCTGGCGCAGCAGGAGGGCGACGAGGTGACCAGGATGAGGCGTGCGCTGGAGGTCCTCAGGAGGCAAGCGGACGACATGGAGAGGAGGGCGACGATCAAGGAGACTCTGGCAAAGGAGGTGAGGAGGCAGAGGGAGGCGCAGGCGATGGAGGAGGAGGAGGCGAAGGAGGATGTCAAGAGGAGGCTAAGAGAGAGGCTGCGCGAGAAGATCCAGAAGGCCCGCCGATAGAGAGTAGGACATGATAGGCGGCCCGCGGCGCCCGTGCGATAGAAACAAGCTAGGAGGAGGGAGGGGACAGTTGGCTAGGTAGTCAGAACAAAAAACGGTCTCGATCCCCGCTCGCTGCCCAGTGCAGTTCTTTTTTGCCGTTCGAGCCCACTTGGGCGCCAAGGTGTTTCAGTAATATTTTGGGGGCTGCGTTTTACCTTAGTGATGTTTCAGGGGCAGTGTTTTAGGGAAGTTTCAGGACCGTGCTTTAGAGATGTTTTAGGGGCTGTGTGTTAACTTAGTGTTGTTCCAATGACCTTGCTTTAGGGATGTGTGGGTCGTGTGTTAGGGGCGTGCATTCACTCTTCGCGACTGGTTACCTTTGCACCTTTATCTTTGCGCATCTAATGCATGCGATCGCGCGCGCCAATGGTTTGGGATACATCGGGTCAACATGATATCGCTATGAAGCACGATCGAGCGTATCAGAGCTACTGGTGTCATATTTCCGATAAGAACCGCTTGTGGCAAACGCTGTGGTGCACATGATTTGCAAGCGCAGAGTTGCACACGTGCATGCGCGCCCTGGGGCGCCACCAGCCGCAGCAACGACAGAATACCTGATATGCTGCGCTATGCTACGCGTGTCAACGTGCTACGCCAATGATGAATGCGATGCCGTGCTATGTTATGCGAGCGAGCGTGATAACGTTGATGTCACGCTACGCTGGGCTGTGGGAATAATATGTGGTGCGATCTACGCAGTGCCATCAGCGCCTGACTGGGTGGCAGATCATCCGCCCGCGGCTAGTTTGCCTCAAACTGTTTGCACTTGTGCATATTACATGTTGCAATCGGTCCCTCGGGCCGCCATGGTGAGATCGGGCTCGAGAAGCCGCTCCCGCTCGACGAGTTCGTCGAGCTCGAGCTCGAAGAGCTCGAGCTCAAGCAGCTTAAGCAGAGCGACTGTGCGGCGGTGGGATTCGGCACGGTGGATGAGGGCAGCGCGGCAGGAGCGGTGGACTCGGGGATGTTCGCTCATGAAGGGCAT